CCCCCCCCGAGCTCTCCGTGGGTGGAAATCAGCTCTGCTAACTGCAGCTCTGTAACTTGGCTAAATTCAACTAGCCTAAGCCAGGAGAGGCACTTTAAGAGCATCATGTGTCCTGTCCATCTCCCTCTGTCAGATAAAATGAAGTGTCTGGATGACTGTCTTGGGTTAGATAGTTGCCTTTTGAGCACAGGTCAAAAGCTGTGGCCTATGAGCACAGGTTTCGGGGGAAATTCACGATAAAATTTGAAATTGAGGCACCTTAGGGGTGTGTTCAGATCCACTCTTAGGGTGCTCAGTCTAGGAGTTACTCAGCAATATGTAATAGCAGTTTCAGAAAGTAGGGCATGTATAAGAAGGGCTCTGAAAATCAGATAAATGAAGTCTGAAAAAATTTCTAAGTTTGGACTGGTGTTCTTCTTTTTCTTTTTTTTCTTTCCCCTTGGAAATGAATTGATAATGTCCCTTTAAAAGTCTATTGCACTTAAAATAACATTTTCCATTGTAAATGACAGTTTATAAATATTTTCTGATACAAAAGCCTGGGAGTGATACCTCAGTTTAAAATTACAACGCACAACGTATATTAGCTACCTCAAGATGGGACCCCTTGAGAGTGTCAGCGTATTTTATTACCAGCTGCCGCTCTAAGTATCGTGGAAGCAAGTGCCTTAATGTCTGAACTGTGTGTCTTTGAGCACCCACTTCCCTCCGCGTGTGACGGGAGCGAGCTGAGGGCCGTGCCCTGGTTTCGTGGGTGGTATCGGAGCGCGAGCAGTATTTCCGCAGAGCCTGGTGATGGGCAGAACGTGCACCCCCCAGGGCAGACAATTCTCCTGTTGCAAGGGGATCAGTGATGCACTAAATACTGAAATAGTAAAAATCCCGTCAATCTGGAGAGGAGGAGTCTATCTTTGTCTGTCTCTCTCATGACTTTGGCAGTATGCTGTGCATATATGTACGTTGCAATCTGGCACGCTTTTTTTTTTTTGTTTTCCTTCTCTCCCTTCTATATAAATAGTTCTCCTTTCATACCTCCTCTCATCAGGGCAGTCTTCTTTCCACCCCTCAGCTCATCTTCCCAGTTAATTTTCACGGGGACTGTCTCTCTCAGTCTGAGACAGCTACCACCAGGCCCAGGGACTGGCCCCCTCTTTCCTGCCTTTACCACTGTTGTGTTGTAACTGCATGGAGATCACCAGCTTTTTGTGTCAAGAACTGTGGTTTCAGCTGCTAATGGATGACTGAGCAAGTGTTACGAGGGAATCGACTGCTATGCTCCTTTAAAGTTCTGCACTCGTGTCTCTAGTGCAGTGACAAGTACTGAGGCCTGTCCTCTCACCAGAGGTAGCTGAACTTTGTGGTATTAGGCGATGACACTAAAATTACACAAACTGGCTTAGAACAGTGGTGAGCTGGCTTTGGAGCGCGACCTGCTTTGTGGTGCTGTCAGCGCGCTGAGCACCTGATGTTCTCTCAGCTCTGCTCGTCCTAGAGCAGTGGGGAGCTGGCTTTGGAGCACGGCCTGCTTTGTGGTGCTGTCAGCGCTGAGCACCTGATGTTCCCTCAGTCCTGCTCGTCCTACGCTCACAGTCATGCCTCCAGATTTACAGAACGGCTTTAACCCTCCTTAATCCGTGCTGTATCCCAGCAACTGCTTTGGCCAGGGCCCTCCCTCTCTTCTGGGCTCTGTGCTGTCAGTCTAGAATTACTTTCCACTCCAGAAAAGGAATAATGGAATAGTGACTTATTCATTGAGCCAGGCAAGGTGGTGAATGTTTGCTGTACCAATGAACTCCCGAGCATGCCTGGCTCTCCAAGCCTGGCTCTCTACATAACCAGTTGTTCTCATTTCCACTTCTTGCTGGTACGGTAGCTGTCAGTGAATATGCAGAGGACTTCAGAGTCCTTTTCATCAGTCCTTCAGTCACAGAGCAATCTGTTGTCCTCCGCTGAAGCCCACTGAAATCCCAGTGACTTCAGTGAGCTCTGGACCAGATCCCGAGATGCATCATCATCCTCATTGCCACTGTATTTCTCTTCTAGTGCTTGCTCCTCAGAACCTGCAGCTGCTGAATTCCACCGAGGACTCCTTGGCAGTCAGCTGGGATCAAATGATTGATGTGGATAACTACCTCGTTAGCTATTATCCTGTGGGGTATGAGACCTTGGTGAAACAAGTCCAAGTGCCCAAAGAGCAACTCAGCTATGAGATTGTGGGTCTCCGTCCCAGCACCGTGTACAACGTCACGCTTCGTCATGTGAAGAAGGGGATTGCCAGTGAGCCTGAGTTTCTAGAAGCGAGTACAGGTAGGAGTAGACAGTCTTTTTCTTCAGAGTCAGGATCTGTAGGTCATTAAGGTTAGATTCAAGCAAGTAAAACGGTTTTGCTTTGTGGGTTTGCAACGTCAGTCTGAACTCCGGAGAGCGTTTTCTCTCCCTGATCTCAGTCACGGTTTCTGCCGTTGTTCTCTTCTGGAAAATCTGTTTCTGTATATGTGTAGTAGAGGCTGAACATATTGCAAGTTTCCCATCCCTATATCTTGTCCAAGTCCTATTCGCATTACTTGACACCCCTAAATTACAGGGAGTCCATAGCACTGCCCGCTACAAGGAGCAGGGATGGAAACATGTACGATAAAGCCAGCGCATTGATGAGAATAGCCTCACTGTTCAATGGGCTGCAGAAGGGACTTTAAAGTAGGCAGGATGTCATTCTAGGTATTAATTTGCCAAACCAACCTGCAGCAGCTATTTTTCCTCACAGTCTCTTCTCAGAACTGAAAGAGCCTGACGCTAATGAGAATATGAGATAGGGTGGCTGCGCAGTGAGGAGTGGAAAAGCTACATATTTGAAGCAGGCTGTCTAGAACTGAAATGCCATTTTGTTAGCAGCTGATAGCTTGCTGTCCGCCTGCACTTGGAGAAAGCAGTGAAAAGTTAGGTTATTTTGACATTTTTCTCTTTATTTCTGGCACAACAGGTGGGAGTTGAAAGCCAGAAAACTCTCTAAGTTGGAGTGTTACCATGGATCAAACTAAGCATGTTGAAATAATGATTGTGCTTTGCTTGTCTAACCCTTCAGTTTTTAGGCAAATGTCTCGGGTCTCAGAGCAGGCAACTGGGGAGGGAGGGGGACAGTTTAGTATCTTCCTATCTTATAGTCACAACTTTGTTGCTTTTGCTGCTTTCTCTGGCCCTCTGTTCTGTCTTCCCCAGTCCCGTCTGCACTCAGTGACGTATGGGTGATGGAGGAGATGGAGAACTCCCTGGAAGTGGAGTGGGAGAACCCCCCCACAGATGTGGATTATTACAAGCTGAAATTCAGATCCCTGGTGGAGATGGATGAGAAGCAGGTCGTGGTGCCCAAAAGCAATGACCCCAAGAGCAGACACATCATCACTGGTGAGTACTTGCATGTATCCCAAACTGGGCAGAGGCAGGGACGAGTGCCAGGAACAATTGATTGTCAGACCATAGACCTGAAAAGATTCTTCTCTGGTGTGTGGATGGCCAGTTCTTCACCTCTTGTCTGCTCTAGGCCAGGGTGAGATCTAGTGGGATTCCCCCATCCCATAATGATATGTCTTAAGCCATTAGCTGTGTGGTACATACATAAAGCTAGGCTGAATAATCCATTGGACTAATGAGGAAGATGTAAGTTTTTTTTTTTTCTTTTTTTCTGACGTCATCTATTGTTATCTTTTCCAGTTCTAGATCAAGCCATAGTCTTGTCTAGAACGTCTCTTAGCAGATGCTGCGTGCTCAGTAGTGTTGTTTACCTGAGTTCTTCTGTTTTCTAGACTCCTGTTCCTTCTGGCAGAACAACTGTGCAGGGAGTTTCTCCTAAAAGCATTCAATTTGAATCCAGTTTTGGGGTCCCTTCAAACTGTTTGATTGCTGGTGAGGGCAGGACCCTGGCTGAGGGTCCTTCTCTCTCAGCTGAAATCATGGGAGTGTCAAGAGACTTTTTTCTCTTGGCCCTGAACACTTTGTTTTTAGTGGTATTCATTCATGTTGGGGGTCTTGAGCATGAGGTGGAGCATGGATAGTTTCCAGGCATGCTCATTCAACTTTGATTCTGCCCTTGTTAGGAATAAAGCATATTCTTCTATTGCAGAGCTTGTAATACTGATGTTACAGAAATCCCCCACATATTATAGTCAATGCATGCTCTAATGGCAACCCAAAGTCCTACCCAGATGTTCCCAAGGGAAAAGGAAGTTCAGATCAAAATCCCACAATTCAAGTTCCTCTCTACTACAGAGCTAGAACTAGGTAGACTAAACAAAATAGTACTTGTTCTTAAAGAACATTATCTTCTCTAATTCTTGGCAGTGTTTCCTTTTGCTTTTTGTAGGCCTGAAACCTGGCACTGAGTACAAGATCACTGTCATACCTATGAAGGATGATACAGAGGGGAAACCATCCACAGTGAGTGGCAGGACTGGTATGTGGATAGTTTGTTATGACAATGATATTACTATAGGGCTCAGAGACAGGTCTGTCACGATTGCAGCATGAAAGGTACACAGTTGGTTTCCTTCTCGTGCATGCTGCAGTCAGGCCTGCAGTATGCTTGTATAAGCTGTATGTTGAGCTACGCCAAACCTAGCCCTAGCTCAGTCTTTTGCCTTAATTTTAAGCATACAGTAACTTTGCCTTTATAACTCAACTAACGGCTCCGGCCACGCATGGGAGTAAGGACAGCTAGCTGGCCACTATGGGTAGTAACCCTCAGAGCTCAGAGGCCCTTTACAGGCCTAGCTATATACCTCAAAGTTTGCTGCTTCATGACTTCATCTAATTAGATCGTTGACGAGATGACTTTGCTGTAAACTAGTGCACACAGTTCCCAGTCTGGGTGTGGAAACCACAGGGTCAGAGCTCATCTCTCTTGTACAGCTAGAACAGGAGGTGATGACGGCCCTTCCTTTTGGATTTCCTGGGCAGCTGCCGCTGACTGTCCCACAGCCGTTAGCTGATGGTGATTTATCTGGCCTCAGAGCCCAGGAGCAGTGAGGAAGAGGATAATTTTTCTTCCTTCTCTGTATTCCCTGCCTCCAGCATTATTCTTTCAGTCACTTAATACCTGAGCTGTTGTACTGAGGAGCAGATTAACACACCACCCCCAGGCCTGGGGCTTTTGTTGCAGCCTGCTGTGCTCTCTGGTACACCAGCCCCCATGGACGTGAGGCTTTGCTTGTGCTGTGCGCTGCACAGTGACACAGTGCCTTTTGTGCTAGCTTGAGACTTTCTGCCTCTTACACTTGAGATGACTGCAGAGGCTTCAGCTGCTTGCTGGCCCTTAGACATCAGATGGAGAAGCTGTGGACTGGTTTTCTTATAACAGAGCCTGAGTGAAACTTGGTCTTCTCCAGCATGGAGAGAGAGAGCAAAAACATCTTTAGGCTTACTTCTGCTCAGACTGTGCACTTGATACAGCTCAGATGGCCTGGAGGATGCTACTGTTATTTGACTCATATTTTTCCTGTGACTGGCAGCCAGCCAAACCCTGTTGGTTCATTGATGTTTCAAGTTCTCCAAAAATGTGGCGGAATATCTTTGAGCTATTATATTGCAGAAGTGAGCTTGAAGAATTTTGAGCTCTCATTCTACTATGAGATTCTGGAAACTCTGAAAACCAACTCTCTTATGCAAGGGTGGGGTTACAGCATCCGAAAATGAAAAGTCCCAAATCAGGCCTGACCTTCCTGAGGTTGTCTTGCAAATTATTTCCACTAAAAGAAAATTGATTAAAACCAACAAAACCTACAACCTCTACCCTGTCATTTTAAGACTGCTCTCCTTTCCTGGGTAGATTCTGATTATTTGGAACACCTTGGCTCCTTTTTTCAGGCTGTTCTTTGCAAACATGGGGACTGGAAAACTTCTTAAGGAGGAGAAGAAGAAAATCCACAATGCGTAATCCTGCTCAGATTCTTAGAAAAGCCCTGGAATTTAGGAGCTGTGACTGAGACAAACACCAGCTACTGAGAGCTGGCACTAAATTGTGATTCATCATCTGAAATAGCAGTAGCCTGAGAGAGTCTGAGGGATGGGACTGCAGGGTACACAGAAGATGAGGAGCAACAAACGGCTGACACCGGAGACAGAGAGAGGATGGGGCCTATACCTGGGTGCTAGGAGGAGGGCAGGCACAAAAGTATTTTTCAAGTCATTGTCCTTGGGAGGTGGGACAGGTAGCCTGCAAGATCTTCCTGCAGAAAATAATGTAAAGTTTCATCTAAATGGTAGGACAATCCTGCTTTCTTCCCACTCCAACCGTGCTGATTTCTCATGGATGCCTTTATTTCTCTAAGGGCTCTGGGGGGGCGGGTGGACCTAGATGACTCTGTGTGTTAGCTGCCTAAAGCAGCAAGGCAGAGTGAAGCAAATGCGGACGTGCTGTGGCGGGTGTTGTAGCAGTTTAATTCAGCTGGAATTTCCTAATCCTACACTTTGATATGCTCTCCTAGGAATTGATAGCCCAACCAATCTGATAGCTGTCCGAGTGACAGAGGATACAGCCACTCTCTCCTGGAATAAAGTTCAGGCTCCCGTAGACAGATACATGGTGCGATACACCTCAGTCGATGGGGATATCAAGGAAATAGAGGTGGGGAATGAAAACAGCAACTTCACCTTACTGGATCTGAAACCAGGCACAGAATATGTCATCCACATCTGGGCAGAGAAGGGATCCCAGCAGAGCAAGAAGACAAGCACCAGAGCTGTGACAGGTAAGTTGTAGCAGCAGCAAAAAAAGGAGCAGGTTTGGATTTCAAGCTCTTTTACCGATTGTGCTTGTTTCAGTGAAGCTTCCCCTACTTTACACAGGTTTTAGTGAGGCAAAAAATTCATACCGTTCTCACTAGTGAGGCTGAACAGGTCTTCAGCATAGGAATGAAACCTCTTAATTTTTCGGTTGTGCTATGGACAGGCCTTATTGTTAGACACCATTTACTATCAGTGCGGATAACAGTAAAACACAGCTAAAGCCTCGTGGTTGGAACATGGCATTAAACGTGCCATAAACAACCTCCAGGCTGTTCTTTGGGTGACTGTTGTGCCCTTCCCCAACAGTACAGTGGGCTTATCTATGTACAGGAAGTCTTTTGAACGCGCCACTCGGGATGTTGACTGACACGTTTAAGCCTACAAATAGGACTAGACACAACAGGAGCTGGCTCAGGGAATTTCTAGAACTGACTGAAATTCCCACCTGGAGGGATCTTGTAAGAATCAGTCTAATGCTTACTGTGAAGTTCAGTCCATCAATTAATTTCAAGTTAGTCCGTTCTCTAAAGCCAGTCCATTTTCTCACTGATATATATGACTGACTGGGGAGTTCCTGGGCCAGCTGGGGAACTAATGAGCTAAATGCACTGTGGATGCATACAGGCACAGCCCATATGCAGCTGCCACGCAGTTATAACTAAGAAATAAATTTAGTTTCCATACTTGCAGCTGACTTATAACTTAAGTCCGATGGCTCTTGCTGCATACAAGCCCATTACACTGTTTACTAGCTGAGCTGTGGTTATTTGAGTACATGTGTTTCCAGCCTGCCCCACTCTGGGGTGACACAAACTAGCTTCATCATCTTTCATTGCAGTGTGAAGTAATGTGTTTTTATTTCACAACAGAGGTGAGATAAGAGCATTGCAGGTGGCAAATCACCAATTTTTACCGTGGCTCAGCTGATGTGTGGTAAATCACAGTGCAGCTAGGCTGGTATGTAGTAAATTGTAATGTGGCTGTAAGATGGTTGTGCATTTGTACCCTGACCTTCAGATCCTGGGGCAGAATCACCAGAATGAAAAATGCTGCCCCAATAATTTGGGAGGCACCTGCAGTTCCTTCGTTCCTCAGGCTGCTGAAATGTATTTATCAGTTCAGAGAGAAAAAAACGACGTTCTCTGTAGAGCTCATAGGCTGTTGGGCTGTCCTTGATAGGTTGCATTTCTGCCGGCTGCTTTGTGGTAGTGTGACTTAACACACTTAAAATCTACTATCATGTTCCTGTTTGTGAAAAGGGCAGGGGAAGGACTGTAGTAATTGCAAAAGACCGTAAAGGGCTTTTTTTTTTGGTGGAGAATTTGAATGTAGTCCTCACTAGTGTTGTAACCTGGTTCTTTACCTTCACACCTTCTCTAAAGAGACTGATAGCCTAGGGCCAACCTGCTGGCCAGCGGGCTTAGAGAAGACACAGCTGCCATCTCCTGTGATAGGGTCTGGGCTCTGATAGACAGGTACTTGGTGAGATGCATTTTAGCTGGTGGGGACACAAAGAAGTTGGAGGTGAGGAAGGACAAGAGCATCTGAGAGGACTGAAGCCAGGCAAGAAGCATGCCATCTATCTCTGGGCAGAGAAGAGAGCTCAGCAGAGCAAGAAAGCAGATACCAAAGCTGTGACAGGTAGTAGGGAGAGGAGTTTTAAGTTAAGACCGAGTTTTGCCTTAATATGAACTAGCTTTGTTCTGGGACAGCTGCATTTTAGACAGATTTTTATTGATGGTTCATTTTTGAGTTAATACAATGAGCACAACAGATATTAGGTTATGATCCTCAGAAAATGAGAGACAGTAATATCTTTGCCAGGGGGTTCCTCACTGCCCCTTTGGAGCTGGTCGTGCTTTTGTTGCTCCCCAACAAAGAGCCCTTCTGTTGCAGCTGTAAGGAGTAAAGCTAGACCTCAGCCAAAGCGTGTCAGAATTGGACCCCTCCAGCTTTGTAGTTCAGGCTCATCCTTGACAGGAAATAGGAATTGAGAAGGGGAAGACTGGCCCTGCCCAGGCTCAGCTACCTCAGCACTAACAGTACAAGAGTATTTACTAGTGAATAAAGAACGGTAGGACTTGCAAGCAATAGCTCCATTATTATCTGCACCTCGCACCACAGTCAAGAGTACAGAATGATTTGGGGCCACAAATAGTGATAGCCCAGGAAACTCACTTAAGCATCAGTCGTTTACACTGCATGATCAAAACATGCAGCTAAAGGTTTGTCGCTAAAGATAAAACTTCCATTAGTCGTACCAGTTTGAGTTAGAGAAAATGAGCAAGCTTTTGGACACGTGAGCCCCTTTTAGATCTTTGGGCCCAGAAACATGTTCCAAAGCTTGTCTCTTTTTCCATAGCTGTTCAGTGGTGTAGTAAAACTTACTACCTCTGCCTATAAAACTATTGTCTATGTCTGTAGACCATGGGGATTGCCACGGTACTACACTAAAACATCTCGTAATTATGACTTGCGCTTACAGAAATAGACAGCCCAACTAAGCTGTTAACTCACCGAGTGACAGAAGATGCAATTATTGTTTCCTGGAACAAAGTCCAGGCTCCAATTGACAGATACAGAGTGAACTACAGCTCAGCTGATGGGGATACAGAGGAGAGAGAGGTGGAGAAAGACAGGAATGTCACTACCTTGGCAGGACTGAAGCCAGGCATGGAATATGTCATTTACATCTGGGCAGAAAAAGGAGAGCAACAGAGCAAGAGGGCCAGCACTGAGGCTATGACAGGTAAGAGGGCAACAGATTTGAATTGAGAGTTCAAGTTACAGCACAGCTTTGCCCTGACATTGAATGAGTCTGTCCCAGGACAGTTTCACAGCAGGGGGAAATTGAGGCTTAACAGGTACAATCTTCAGATTAGTTCGTCTTGCTGTGAAACCCATTCAACATCATCACAAGGAGATTCTATTTACTTTAAGTAGGCTGCGTTGTGATTACTAGTGCGGATTGGTGATCTTTACCTGTGAAAAGGATGCCTTTATAGCAATGTGGCTTGGGTATCTGTATAGTCGTGCTTTAAATTCAGTCAGTTAATTAGTTTATCCTTCACCCAGAGGTGAAACTTAGTTCCTTTTTGCAGTTGAAGAGATTGAAGCTCATGGAGATTAACAGAATAGAAGATGTCTTTTCTTGTGATAGGATGGTTAATCCTGGTTCCTCAGTTGTTCTTACCAGGGACTTTCCTTCACCTGTGTGGCCGGCCCTGCTTAAGGAGATGTAGTGATTTGTCCAGTGTGAGGGTTGCTAGTTTAGAATAACGTTATAAAGCTGAATGTCTGAATTCTTTGCAAGCAGTTGTGAGAATTTACAAGACGATCAGGATTCTCACTCATGTTCTAGGTCAGGGACTTGGTGAAGGAAGGCAGGTAATGGTCTACCCGAGTCGTCGTCATCTCTTAACAGGAGAGCTTTGCATATTCTCTCACTTCCTGGACAGATGACATGTATGTGAGCCTCAGAGGCTTGTGACCGTGAGGAAAACAGAAAGCAACAATATCTTGATTTATAAGGGCTCCCTTCTTTCCTGGTCAGGATCAGCTGTGCTGTTCCCTAAGAAAGCTGCTACAGGCATTAAACCCCAGTCAGACCCCAGTCAAATTGCCTTAGACCTTGACACCTCCCAGCTTTGTGGGTCAAATCAATGTGTGATCAGATATAGGAGCCAAAAAAGGAAGAAACGTGCAGGGCCCTCGAGGGGAAGGAGTATCACAGCGCAGCCTCCCTGTGACAACTTGTGTTGCTTGCTTTTAACTTCCTACAGAAATCGACAGCCCGGCTCACCTGGTCACTGAGCAAGTGACAGAAGATACAGCCACCATCTCCTGGGACAGGGTCCAGGCTGTCATAGACAGGTACATGGTGAACTACACCTCTGCTGATGGTGACACAGAAGAGATAGAAGTGGGGAAGGACAAGACTGCCACTACCCTGACAGGACTGAAACCTGGCACTGAATATGCCATCTCCCTCTGGGCAGAGAAAGGAGCCTGGCAGAGCAAGAGCACCAGCACTGAGGCAGTGACAGGTATTCTAGGGAAATCATTGTGGTCCTACCTGATGACTAAATATGTTGTGAGAGGAATTGAGAAGGAGAAAAAACTCATAGGGCCTTTGAGGGGAAGGAGTAAGTGCAACCCCATTGGGACAACTTGTGTTCTTCGCTCCAGAAATTGGCAGCCCAGCTCACCCAGTGCTGAGGTAGAAGCTAACTCGCCCTGCCCAGGCTCAGCCATCTCAGCACTAACAGTACAAGAGTATTTACTAGTGAATAAAGAACGGTAGGACTTGCAAGCAATAGCTCCATTATTATCTGCACCTCGCACCACAGTCAAGAGTACAGAATGATTTGGGGCCACAAATAGTGATAGCCCAGGAAACTCACTTAAGCGTCAATCAAACGATCACTGCGTGATCAAAGCATAGTTTGTCGCTAAAGATAAAACTTCCATTAGACGTACCAGTTTGAGTTAGAGAAAATGAGCAAGCTTTTGGACACGTGAGCCCCTTTTAGATCTTTGGGCCCAGAAACATGTTCCAAAGCTTGTCTCTTTTTCCATAGCTGTTCAGTGGTGTAATAAAAGCATACTACCTCTAAAACTTTTATTGTCTTAGTTACCCACACTTTATTCCCTAGAAATAGATAGCCCAAAGAACCTGGTGACTGACCGAGTGACAGAGGATACTGCCACCATCTCCTGGGATAGCATCCAAGCTCCCATAGACAGGTATGTGGTGAACTACACTTCTGCTGATGGGGACACCAAGGAAGTAGAAGTGGAGAAGGGCGAGAGCATCACTACACTGACAGGACTGAAGCCAGGCATGAAGTACGTCATCTGCCTCTGGGCAGAGCTGGGAAGCAAGGAGAGCAAGAGGGTGAGCACTGACGCACTGACAGGTAATTGTGGGCAAGGGACCCTACTCCTTTGTTTCATGATCTCTCTTTGCATCACTGGATAATGAAGATCCACAGTGGTAAATCCATTCTGGAGATAAGTGCATGATTATAGATGGCAAGGGACCGTACTCCTTTGTTTCATGATCTCTCTTTGCATCACTGGATAATGAAGATCCACAGTGGTAAATCCATTCTGGAGATAAGTGCATGATTATAGACTACTAGAAGAGGCAGATGTGATAATACAAGAGTGATGACAGCTTGCGGTCTCCAGCTTATTTCACTAGTCCCTAATCAAAAGCATGCAATGCTGCTTGTACTGCTATCGATCACAACAATAGAGGTTTAACAACCACAGTTAAACTGTACTGGAATTGGGGATAATTAAAAATAATGGCCTGCCCTTTGACTCCTAGGACCACCTTAGGGTGGTCCTAGGAGACTGCAGACTTACAGCTTACTGAATAGTACAGATTTATGGGTGTGTTGAGAACACTTCATGGTCGGTCCATAACCATTGGCCTTGCTAAGGTACTTTTTCTTAGTTTATGAATCGAACTGATGTGAGGTAGAAAAGTTTAAGTCTGGTTTTAGGGCAAGGTGCCAAAACAGTTCTCAATGCTTACAGAGATCGAGGGCAGCAAAGGAGGACAAATGAAGTTCTCATGAGATCGAAGATCTAAACCTGCCTGGAATTAGAAACACAGAGAGAATTTCAGTGAATTACAATATTCTCTTCTGAATAGGCGTGAAAACACAGAAACAGAAGTTTCACATGAAATGAAACTGCTGGGAGAGGGACTGTACTTAGCATTAGTTGGAATATTTAAAAAAAAAAAAATCTACACAAAAGACTGTAGTTTTTCTTGGTGGTATTTCCCAAAAGTGACACATCTGGTAAAATGATCCAGTTTCTGACAAAAATGCATTTTCTTACTGAAGGTAGCAGCTTCTTAGTCCCTAGTGTTAAAATAGGCTATGGCAGGGATTTGTCCTGTAGTAGTCTCCTGCACGCGTGGAAACTACTGCTTGCCTTTAAGAGCAGTGCTGTGAAATCCTAGGTACTGTCTTTGTTAAGGCTGCCCTCCCCATCACTTCTCTCTTAGGGATGGATTTGGTGTCTTTTAGCTCCCTCTCCTGTCCTACAGGAGATACATTTGTAATGAGCAACGCCAGGAAGATTTCTGCATGGGTTATTTAAAACAATTGTTTAATGGTCTCCTAAATAAAGCATGAGTTGGATAATGATCTAATGCTTAACTCGGCAGTGAATGATGGTCTTCAGTTTTAATGAGTAGCTGGTGTTTTAAACACCATGCTGTGTGAACTTTGGTGTACCCATCTCTGTCTCTCTCCTTACACTGGATGATTTGGTTTCTTCTCTATCTTTGTGTTAGTTTTAAGCAGTAACCCTGCGCACAAGAAGTGCCGTGCTTTTTGGGAGAAGCCACGCTGCTCCCCTCTTCTTGTTATATCTTCCTCTGTGGCCCTTTCAGAACTGTCATAGTTCATTGCTGCTTTATAATTGTTGTTGTGATTATCCTCGTAACACTCTTCAAAAGTCTGGGAAGTGGTGTTGTGTTGTTTATATGGAGGAAGGACTGAACTAATGGAGGAGTTAAAAGACATGCCCAACGTCACCTGGGGAGGTCTGTGGCAGAGCAGGGAGTTGAAGTGAATTATTTGGCTACAGTTTGCCGTACATTCAGGAGTACCTCAGGGTTGGAGTGCTTTTCCCAGAAGGCCAGTGCTGCCCACCAAGTACTTTCTCTCTAAAACTTGGAAGGCCAGAGCAGGTGAGACAAACCTATTCCTTAGAATGTTTTCCTTAAGATGTTCCTAAAATGCTAGAATGTAGCAAGAATGTAGGATGAAAATCAGGAGGAGCTTGCTTCTGTTGCTGTTACTTCAAAGTGAGCTTTAGAAATGGCTTTTATTATGAGGAAAGTACTGAAGCCCTCTTGTGGCTACATCATAAGATGGATGCTTTTTGACAATTGATGTGAACTAGCATTGCTTAAAGATAATTTTGTGCTTCTCCTCACGCTGAGCTTGGGCAGTCTGATTGGACAGGAAAAGTCTGGCTAAGCCTTTGCTGTCAGTGTAGAAGGTGATGTCCCAGATACAGCAGGGACAAAACTGTAAAGCTGTGGGTTTCTTTGTATCTCTGCCTTTATTAAAGAAGGCTAAAGCATGACAACAGTAAAGCCTGTGCAGTCTTTCTCCACCTACACTAGAGATCCAAGGGGAAGTGGGGAATTGGGGAGCAAAAGGCAGTGCATGTTAGGGCTGTTCTCCAGGATTGGGCCGTATAGCCCAATCTGTGAAGGCTCCTCAAAGATGAGCCTGATGAAGGCTTCTGAGGCAAGTGTGTCAGAAGCCCCCAGGCCCTGGGAATGCCCATACATCTGAGCAAATTGCAGGGCACACAAAATATCCCAAACTGGATCTGTAGCAGTCCTTGCCGTGTTTGTTCTAGGCTCATGCTGCTTCTTGTTAGCTGTGGAAGTCACTGAATGCCAATTAACAGGATCAGGCAATGAAAGCTCAGCCCAAGCCCTGCACTGGAGTTGCCATCTTTCATTTATACAATGGGACTCGCATTTTCTTTTCTTTTTCAATAGAGATTGATCCTCCCAAGAACGTCCGTGTATCAGATGTGACTCAGTCTGCTGGTGTAGTTACTTGGACTCCTCCAGCAGCACAGATTGATGGCTATACTTTGACCTACCAGGGGCTAGGTGGCAGCATCAAGGTACAGTGAGTTCCTTAGCCCTGCAAACTCCATTGAAATCATCCCTATGGCCATGGGCTCTGTGGGTTGGATCCTGTGGATATATGGACCACAGGAGAACAATTCTGAGGAAAAATCTACACCATCCATGGCTGGGGAGGCAGAGCATAAGCAAGGAAGCGTGCTACTGCGCGCAAGGAAGCGAGCAGGAGCTGTGGAGGGGCTTTGTGGCAGTGGAATGCCTCTTCCCAGGAGATCTTCAGGGTACAGAGAACAGATTTATTTCTCACTTTGCTTTTCTAATGTGTTACTACATGGAGGAGCAGCACCTGCCAGGGATACAGGATACAGTATCCTAACTGTTTCCTGAGAACATGCCTCAAATCTTCCTTCTGAGGAGATGGGCTCCTCAAGGATATATAGCCATTGTGTGCCCGTCTGAACTCTACAAGAAAATCCCATAAATGCATACCAAGTATGAAGGCACTGTAGTCCAGAAAAGCTGAATGCTCTTCAGAATTGGGCTGATCTTTGGTCTGTTTTGTTTGGCAGGAAGTGCAGCTGGGACCTAGTGACCAAAGGTTTGTGCTGGAAGGACTGGAGCAAGGAGTGAGGTATACCGTCTCTGTGGCGGCCTATAGGGAAGATCGCCAGAGCAGAAAGGCAGGCAATACCTTCTCAACAGGTAGGGTTTTGGCCTTTGGTGTCATGCTCTTCCCTGTGCTTTGTAGCCATTGTGCTTCATGGGTAGAGGGCAGCGATGGAGTTCCTGTTTTACAGACACCTAGGGAAACTACGTGATCATAAGCCAGTTACCTAGGGAGTCAATGACATGTCTTCTGGCTGGGTATCCATTCTTAGCCACACCATTTGGAGGCTTGGAAACGCAAAGGGATAGCATGAGTGGAGACTGCCCGTACTGGTCAGTGCTGTTGGCAAACCTCTCTAACCAAGCGCAGAATGCAGCCTCTTGGGGAGCTGCGAGTGGGCAGTGGAGAAGATGATATGCTGTGGATCTTTTTGCACCATCCTAGTAATGGGTAGCACACAGCTGTGTAAACAATGGCGTGACATTGGGCAGCTGCCCAGATTATTTTCAGAGATCAGGAAACGTACGCCAGAATGGCAGCAAATCAAAGTCTCATGCTGGCTTGATGTGGGTGCCTCTCTTAGTGGACCAGTCCCCTGGTCACGGACAAGTTGTGGGATGTGGAGAAAATAAACTCTCTGTTTACTGGCGCTCCCACCTTCACAAACAAGGGCTTCTCTTCCTGCTTTCGCTGTCAGCCAGGATTGCACCTGCTGCAATCTTGGGTGACCCGATCCGTGAGCCAGGTCTGAAGCAGCAGGGAAGGTTGCCGACTGCAATCTGGTGATGTGCCTGCGCTCTGCTGAGCTCACAGTGGGACTGCTGCGGTTTCTTTACTTCTGTTCTCGTACCAATGCCCTTAGTAGACTCCTAAGGGTGTGAAATGTCCCCTGCAGCTTTATGGCCTGCTTTGCTGACTTGAAGTTTTGCCTTCTCTGTTCCTACAGTTAGCTTCCTCTACCCATATCCAGCAGACTGCAGCCAGGCACAGCAGAATGGAAATACCTCCAGCGGCATGTACACCATTTACCTGAATGGAAATGGAAGCAGACCAATACAGGTGTACTGTGACATGACCACTGATGGAGGCGGATGGATAGTGAGTGATTCTGTGCTCCTCTTTGTGTGTTTTTTTTGTTTGTTTTTTTTCTTTGTTTACAAAAGTAATTCAGTGAGCCTGGTTCTGGTGTTAATTGATGCTTCGTTTGCTTTATCGCTCCGCTGTGTTTCAGCTCTTGCCCTGGTGGAGTCATGTCTTTTAGGTAGAAGGGAGGTGGATGCTGATAAACTCCTTCAGGTTATCAGTGGGAGTGCTTGGGGGGGTGGGGGGAGGCTGAATGGGTCGAAGGCTTGACAGTAGGATGCTGGACTTTGTCATTGCTTGGTCCTGCATGTGACTCAGGTTATCTTATTGCTGATTCAGGGCAATGAGTGAGTTATGGCAGCTTAACATAATACCTCTTGCCAGTTGGGAGCTGTCTATGAGGGTGCGCTCAGCCCCATTGCAAGACAGGGCAGTACAACTTAGCTTAGCTGTCTTTTGTAATGGCTTAACTAAGCTGCGTTATCTTGTTTTGACTACAGGATTAGGTTGTATGTATGGACAGTTCTTGCAGTTCAGCTTATGCCTGCTAATATTTTGAATGACAGTATTGTGAGCATGTATGCGGACTCTGACCATGCAGTAGTTCTTGAATGGCTCAAGGGAATCCGAAGGTGGAAACAGAAGGAAGGAAGTTCAAGGTGGTTTGAGGGGACTGACAATCTTGAGTTCTGTTCCTAATGAGTTACTGCCCCTATAACAGAGACTGAGGTAGGGAATTTTGTATGTGGGTGAAGGAATAAATCCGAGATCGTCTGAGAGCAGTCTCCCTAAGTGACCAAATAAAACCACTTATCATGGAACACAAAAGGTGAAAAGGGGAATATGGATGTTTTTATCTACTGAAATGAATTGTTGTGTGTTACTGCCCAACTGCTGCTGATGTTGGTAGAGCTTAGAAAGAAAAGTATGTCTGTGGATCTTGTCCCTAATCCTGACTTGCACAGATGTTTAGAGTCCACCTAGATTTGTGCTCCCCATAGCTGTTTGTGGAAAGTAAGCTGTAAAGTTTGCGCAGGTAAGTATTCACCCCCGGGCTTCCCATGCAGGAAAAGGGAAAAGAATTCCTGTGTGTACCCTGCTCAGCTGCAGTTTACCATCAGCTAGAGATGTCTGTTCCTGAACACCTCGCCTTTTGGTCTGGATTTGAATCAGGGTGAGGGGAGGGGAGAACTGCAGGCTGCTGGTGGTCAAAGAAGGAAATCTCCCATTTCTCACACCCATCCTCCCTGTCTCTCCTCAGCCTGTCATTAACTTTCACTCAGCAATCCGTCCTTGCTTGCAGGTGTTTCAGAGGCGGAGCACTGGTGAGCTGGATTTCTACAAACGCTGGAGGGATTATGTGGAAGGCTTTGGAGATCCAACTGGTGAATTTTGGCTTGGTAAGGTATCGGGCTGTGACCAGTGAAAGGTGAATAGCTAAAGACTAGCTTTGTAGGAGCATCTAAGTGCTGCAGTATCCAACTCCCCTGAGCCTGTTGTCTGGAACTGTCAGCTTTTCTGCTCTTTGCTCGAAGTGCCAATGAAGTATTTAGGATCTCCAGAGGCCCACTGAAGTCTTTCCACTGACATCTGTGGGCTGTGGAGCCGTCCCAGAGCAAGTCAGACTTTTCCAAACCCCTGAAAAGGTTTATTTCAGGCTTGTGTGTTCCTATGAAAGGCGAAATAATTTGCCTTCGTGAAAATGTGAAATCCAGAACGTTATATAAAACTTAATGTACTCTGTCATTTTCTATATTTCCTGTTCCATTTGCTAACTCTGCTTGGATCAGAGAATCCAGCTTTAAATGGATCCAAGTCTTTGGAGCAAGAGTCTTTAGATGGGCTTAGAAAGTTATGTTCCACTACAGTCTGTCTTGTGCTGGTTTAGGCTCTTTGGTCTTTGCAACACTGCTGTCTCTTGCCAAGAAATTGGACAGGGCAGTATAGGCTTGACAAAATGTCATGAGAGCATCAAGCAAGGGAAGGAAGGAGGCAGGAAATAGCTGATATAACCAAAATGGCAGCAAGATGAGATTCTGGGATTGCAGAGGTGAACAGGCTTTTCCCTTTTAAGAGTAATTCTCTTTTCTTGTAGGTCTTGACAAGCTACACAATCTCACAAGCAGCAGCCCCATCCATTATGAGCTCCGGGTGGATTTGCGGACATCCAGTGAATCCGCCTATGCTGTCTATGACTTCTTCCAGGTTGCCTCAAGCAGGGATAGATACAGGCTGTCAGTGGGGAATTACAGAGGAAATGCTGGTGAGGAATGCCTGGTGCTTCTGATGTGTCTGCTTTGCACAGGGAAGCAAATGTTGGGACCTGCGTGTTCATTTTGCCAGTAACATGTGGGCTCACTAGGTGGTCAGGTTAGATGGATGCAATTCTCTGAGATACCACGTGCCCGCAAGCCTGTCTCCTGCTCAGTGGATGAGAAAGAGTCGCCCTTTCATGCGGAGGAGAGGAGCTCTGTGACCCAGCAAAACACCAGCTGCGAAGGCAGATTGGAAAGCATTTCCAGGAGGTAGCCTGCATCCTGGTACTGGTTTCTGCCACTGGATAATCCTTACCAGCACCTCTGCATCCATAGTCTTCCACTTAACCCCTTTATCTCTTACTGCCAGACGTTTAGATCTTCGGCTTTGGGGGATCCAGCCCTTGGGCATGACCTCTTACAGCAGCCTTTTAGAAATTGTTCTCCAGACCCATCCTGTGTTGCTGCTTTTCTCCTGACAGGCCTACTCTTTGTATCCTAAAGGGTGTATAAACCCTCAGGCTGAGCAGCTGTGGTCCCTGACTTCTGTTGATGCCTTTAATCTCCTCCTTTAGGAGATGCAATGACCTATCACCATGGCTGGAAGTTCACAACGTGGGATAGAGACAATGATGTGGCTCTCAGCAACTGTGCTCTGACACACCATGGTGCATGGTGGTACAAGAACTGCCACTTGGCCAACCTCAATGGGAAATACGGGGAGAGCAAGCACAGTGAGGTGAGTGGCAGAGCTCTGTGTAGTGGGCAGCTGTTCTTTAGCCTTGGGAAAACACTTGGGATGGGGGGGTGCAGCAGAAAGAGTTGCCCAGGCTATCATAATTCCTTTCATTTGAAAGGAAAATGATCCATAAGGAAACTCCCAACCGTTACTCTGTGATCCCGTTTGGATCCGGCGGGCTTGAGCTCATGGTGTCCTGATTCTTGTGATAGGTAGAGAGATACCTGAGGTGGAGCTGTCTTGATTTCGGTGGGGAACAAAAAAGAGCGCTCACTAAGAGGCATGCCAGGACGCAGGCTTGCTGCCTCAAGTAGCGTATGTCTAGGTTTCAGTGCATGCCTTGGTTTGCATCTCATCATGCAGGCTTGCTTTGTGCTTGAAGAGGGCTCTGTTCTGTTGAGTCCCTAACTGGATGGAGATTTAACTTTTATTAGAAATGCCTGGAAGACTGATTATAATTACGGTCAAAATCTGGTAAACAATAACATCTCTGTTTACTAGGAGGGTTAAATAGTGTAGAGGGGGGCAGAGGTAGACTCCGGTCCCCTGAGCTGGGTGCTTTAATAAAAGAAATTCCTTGGCCTTTTCACAGGGGGTTAACTGGGAGCCATGGAAGGGCCATGAATTCTCCATCCCTTTCACTGAGATGAAGATCCGTCCTCAATCTTCTAGTAATGAGCCAATCCTGGGGAGGAGGAAGAGGTCTCTAGCAGGAAAGAAGATGATCGGGGCTTAAACTGACCTTTGTGCAGGACAATGCTCAAAGATGATGATTCGGTATTTCTTAACCAAGTTAAGGTTTGGACAGCTTTCTCCAATACACTGGAGGCGATCACTGACCACCTTGCACCCAGAGATCTCTGGATGTGCAGCCCAGCCTGCTTCTAGTCTCTGGCACTCTAGAGACTGGGAGGGGGCTGATGGGGAATACTCAGCTTGCAGCTCCCCTGGTGGGCTGAGCTGGACAAGGATCTGCCTGATTCAGTGTACGCAACTCACCTTTATGAACTTTTCATAACATGAGCTTTAACACGTTCCGTTGCTTCTCAAAAACCGCCCTGATGACTCCTCTTAATTCTGTCCTTCTCTGTCGCCATCCACTGAAGCTTTAGGCTTCCAAAAACTAAGTTTGATCTCACTGAACAATAAAAATTCCCTAATGTAGACTGGGGAGAGCTTTCTCAGGTTGTTAAAAGCAATATTTTTAAGGCTATAGCTTGATGTGGTTTTCTTTCTGCCTTTCTGATTTAAGCTTCCTTTTTCAGAAGACGGAAGGAGACCACCGAGTATCACTCTGTTCAGAATTGGCTTTGGGACACCTCTTCTTGAAGCTTGTACAGGGCTTTGGTTGTTGGTTTGCAGCTGCTAAGACAGGAGGCTTGAATGCCCCTTCCATTTAAAATCTGATGTAACAACCTGAGAACATTTCTCTTTAGGTTAGTTTTTTCATACCAGCTTTTCTTATTTTGTTAAATACTTTTGTTAAATGCATTACTTGCATTTTCCACCTCTGATGAAGAGACACTTACCTGCTTAAGAAAGGAAGGCCTAATGTCTTTGGTGGTTTAACTCACCCCCAGAGCTGCTGTGAAAAACACCTTATGACACAGAGGGCTCTTTTAGAGCCAGCTCCTTTAGTTGTGTAAAAAGCCAGAGTCCCCACATAATGCTCCCTTCATTGACCTGATCTTGGCTTTGACAGGAGGGGTGACTCCTGCTCTGCCTGGCTCTTGAAGAGTCCAGAGACTCTTCTTGCATTGAGTAAGGAAAAGATACAGGCAGTGCAGCTTTCATCATGTCCTGTGTGGAATCGGTACCTGTGTCTTCTGGGAAGAATTTGCTTCAAAGGTTACCCAGCCCCTCTCCCTCATTTTGTCTCTGGATAAAGTGGAGATGATGATATTCACCTGCTTTGCAAGGAAATGCTGAGAATTAATAAGTAAATGACTGTCAGAGCACCTTACAGCAGTACAGTGCCAAATAAGATTTGCTGTTCATTCTCGACAGAGCCATAAGTATTGCTGGGAGGAAATGTCTTTCATTGTCCCCTTTCCCTCTCTTGATCTGTGGTCGTCTTTTCCTTTTCCCTCATCATTTTAGGCATAGCATTCCCTACTTTTTCCTCCAGTCAGAGAGCTGGGTTTTGGGAAACATCAGGCTGCTGGTAAGGCTCATTAACCCGGGCTAAGCCTGGATTCCTCAACCTCCAGTATGACATCTCTCCAGGTTGAAATCCTGCTCTATATTTTGCTTTTCTCTTCTTGTCTGCCAGCCAAAAGACATGCCTGAGGAGACATGCAATGAATTAATGTTCACAGCCCTAGCCAAGGCCTAGAACAGGGTGAGTGTAAGGCTGTGTTTCTTCAAGCTCTGCTCACCATCCAAAACCTGCCTCTGCGTAATGTGTGCTTACAAGGCCGCTTACAGGCCATGAAGAGAATTCTCTATTCGACTGTCCCGCTGCCTTCTACTTTTTCATTAGCAGTGTCATAGCTAGTGATGCTGAAATGATAATGCTTGTCATCCGGTCCTGAACAGCATTTCGGAATAAATGAGTCCTGCGCGCTCTCCCTCAGGCTTTTATTTCAGGCTGTCTGCAGATTTAGGTGGGTTCCAGTGCATGGTTTCACATTTAGCTGCTTTCTTCCTCGCAGTCATAAAGGTGAGTTTTACTTCCTTTCCATGAGAAGAAATTTAACTTTTGGACCATCAGCCACAGCCAGGGAGGAAGTATGAGCTTGCCAAATGATGCTTGCTGAAAGGCTTCCTTGTCTGAGCAGACTGGAACATGGTTGTCCTATGTCTTAATGGCTTTTTTTAGTCCCAGTGCTAAACTGAATAATGCATTTTAAAGAATTCTCCCCACACTTTGGGGAAGCAGTAAAATTAGAAATAAAGGAAGTCTTAAAATATTTCTGTCTTGATTTGGATGTGTCTAAAAAAAATGACTGAATACTCTTTTTTTTTTTTTTAAAAAAAAAACAAAAAAACTAAACCTCCTTTACAGGGAAGGGGCGATACCTAGGCCCTCAAGCATTGCTAGAGCAATGTGCAAAGGCTGGGACCATGGGAATTTGGTCTCTGGAGTCTGCTTCAAAGTGGGGATAGGGACTATGTGGTCTCCTGATGACTTAATACCCCAAAGCAGTGAACTGATCTGTGGCTGCTAGGACCTGGCTGAGGAGAGCTAGCGAGTGAGTCATCTCTTAAAGCTGGCTATTAAATTCTTCATAGTGTTTTCAGTGCTTTGCCATTTGTGGATGTGGGCAGGCAGAGGTTTAGCTGTGTTGGGATATCCAAGCCCAGGTATGGGGAAGGAGAAGAATAATGGAGGGAGGAGAGAGAAGGAAAATTGCACTTGAAGTGTGTTGCAGGCTCTTTGCAAAGAGCGTGGGAGAAAGACATAGCAAAGAATCCTCAGCTTTCTCCTGTGGTGATGTGGGGTCTCCCCGCTGCCTGGTGGTCTGCCGATGAGGACAGGTTTCACCCTTTCATCCAGTTAAAGGGCGCAGTGTAGACACGAAGAAGGTGACTTGAGGGGACCAGAGGACTAGCTTCTCACACAGCCACTCTAGAAGTCAGCACATCCTCTCCAGAGCAGCAGGCTTGGTTATTCTGAGCAGCTCTTTCCTGTGCAAATCTCAGAGGCAAAGTGTAATCCCCTTCAAAGGCTGAATCTTGCTGGAGAGTAGGGAATAGTCTCTAAAACAGGAGAAATATGAAATAAATATGTTTTATTTGCAATTTCAGAGGAGGGTTTATTTGTCCCTCCTAATTGTCAGCCCCTCTCTTTCACTAGGAAGGGCAAAGTCAGCTCCTGGAAAACCTGTGTGGGGAGTCAGTATTTCCAAACAGCCACAGGATGGCATCATCTATTCACGCTAGTTTAGGACAAACCATCTTGTCTCCAGCTGACCGCTATGGAAAGGCATTTTTGGAGTTAGCCAGGGTCTGCAGCATAGCTTTAGAAGCTGGGACTTCTTGTGTAACGCGGTTGTTTTGCTCTGCCTTCAGGAACTGGCTGTTCTGGTTTGAAGGCCGGGGCTGGTTGGGGTAGTCCCACAAGAATTTCACATCCTCTTGCTGCCCTCATTTTCTTGCTACACCCAGCTGTGTAACAGGGATGTAGATGCAAAACTTGTCTTAGGGCCAAAATAGAGATGCTCAAAGCCTTTGCCTTGTCCTGCAGTCACTTAAATTTTGTAGATAGTGAAGTCTGCCGTGTGCCCTGGGGCAGAGAGGGTTCCTCTGCCTTGGCATCACTGAGTTGATGCTGACTGTTTCCATGCTGGGCCCCACAAACCGCAACGTGTCCCTTGTGTTACATCTGGAACTCAGCGAGGCCACTGCTGTTGCTGGGTACCCAGTGGGCTGGACTCAGCAAAATGCTGCTGCAGGGGAGAGGTGGTGGGTGCTGTGCCCGTTGCCCCACCATCCCAGCACTTATCTAGGAGGAAGGAGGAAGAAGAGTGCCTCTTCCCAAAGCTATTGCACTCCGAATGGAGTAACTTGTGTTTGCTGAGGCAGGGAGAGAGGAGCAGACAGAAGTGTCTCAGAGCATTGGGGACCTGCTTGGAAAGTGGCATTGTGACTTCTGGTCCCTGCTCCAGGCTTTGTTGACTAAAGAAATAGAGGAACAGTCAGCAAAGGTGTGGTAAGTTTCAGTTCTCCCCTCCTGGTGGGGCTTCAGGGGCCTGTGGGGTCAAAGGACTTCTTTGTGCACTCTCTTGGTCCCTGGCCTGCCCCAGTTCAGGGGACTTTCACCTTGACCTCAACCCCAACCTGCTTCTAGCCTAAGACCCATGAACTTTGTTCCCTTTCTCCAGCTGGCTCCTGTCCTTGGTCCTTCTTCCCCTTCCCTCCTTGGCCAGCTCATCCTCTGATGCCTCTCAGCTATCAGGGCTGGAGGGAGGAAAGGCCTAAGCAGAGAAGGGAAAGGGGTAACAGCTAACTCCATCCCTTCTGCTGTGGGCAGAGCAGATCTGCTCTGGACCCACAGGTGGAGGCTAACCTGCTTCTGGGCGTCCCATAGTCTGGCTGTGGATGGAAAAGGAGAGAGGTTAGGGCCTCTTCTCCAGCCATTGTTTAAAAGGGCGCATCTCCCTCCTTTGTTAAGCAAGAGCACCTGGCCCCAAGAAGGGTGGGCAGGGCTGCCATCCCAAGAGGAGCGAAGTGTGTGCTTCTTCCCTCCCCATAAGGCACGTCTCGACTTCTTCTAGCCCTTGGTCGCTGCAGCTCTGCGCAGCTCCCGCCATCGTTCTCCTCCAGAGCTTCAGCGCTGGGAGCAAGGTGGTGTGGAAAGGTGCTTAGCAGCCTGCAGGTGAGAGGCAACTTATTTATCTGTGCGGAGGGAGAGCTCAGCGGTGCATGGCACCCACCTTGAAGCACGGCGCAGTTCGGAAGGGCTCTGCCTAGCAGAGGTGCGCCCGCGGTCCTCACGCAAAGAGCGGGGAGAAGCTGGAGGCGGCCGTGAAGCGCTTCTGAGATCCAAACCAACTGGGGTTAACTAGCCTGCGCTGCTGACCCTCCGCAAGGAAAAAGCCCTCTGTGCAGCCTGCCTCCTGCAGAGCAGAAGCACTGCTTTTCTTCTTCCCGCTACTTTTTTTTTTTTTTCCCCTGGGGGAGGGGAGCTCGGCAGTGCTCATTAATAAGGCAAGGCTATTAAACTTGATTAAACTAAACTGTCTCTTTAAGACAATGTCTGTGAGCTGTGCAGCTGGCTGCAGAGAGCGACTGCACAGCTTTTCTGCCCACTGAGCTCTCCGAGCGTCTCATCTAGGGCCAGAACACAGCTACAAGAAACATTTCCCTATGAAAATAAACATGAGTGAGAACTAGAGAACATGGATTTTTTTTTTGTAGTTTTAGTCATTTATTTTTTTTATTTAAAAAAAAAAATTGCAAAAAATTTTTTTTCCCTTCCCCTGTTGCATGAACTGTTTGGGAAAATAGAAGGCTGACACTGAAATGCAGCTGCGGGGAGGCAGCGCGGAGGTGCCGGAGGAGCTGGGACCCGCGCGGTGGTGTTTCTGTACCATGCTCGTCTTTCCTCCTTGTTCGTGTGGGTGCTGCAGGGTCCCTGCTGCCCAGCCCGCGGGTGATGGGCTCCGGTGCCCCTCAGGTTGTTGCTGGTCTTTTGCTTTTGTCTCAGCTGATTCAGTCCATGGCTTAGTTTTTTTTTTTTTTTTTTTTTTAAAAAAAAGCAGCCCTCAAGCAAATGGGCTCCCTGTGCTTTCTGGGGTGCAGAGGCTTTGACGGGCCACAGCCCAGCGGAGGTCGGGTAGATGCGGGTTGGGCTGTTGCCTTCCCTGCTCCCTTCCTGCCCAGTTCAGCTCGCTACAGAGGTGGATTTGGCTCTTGAAATTCTGACCTGGATTTGAATGCTGCGATGCCTGAATCAGCAGTGATGTTTGCTAGGGGGACGTAGACATTTCCCTGATGTTTCTCTGGTTCTCGTAGGAACTGGTTGCCCTCAGCCCAAACCGTACTCGCTAAGGCTTTCGGAGCAGGACCCTTTTGCAGGCAGCTGCGCACCAGGTACGCCGTGCTCTCCCGGCGCTGGCTGGCTGCCTCCCCAGCCCTGCTTGCTTGGTAAGCCTCTGGCCTCCTGTCTCCTTTGCCTTAGCTCTGCTTTTTTTTTTTTTTTTTTTTCATTCCTCCGCGTAGCAAACCCCTTTCTCTGGGGTTTCTGCAGACGCCGCCCCCTGCGGGGCCCGCTCGGCTGCCTGGGGGGAGCTGGGGGCGGTTGCTTTGCCCACCTGGGGAGCTGCGGGGGCAGGAGGGCTGCCGAAAGGCACCCGCACGTGGGATGGAGGAGCGAATAAGCTCAGTGTGGCACGGGTTCTCCAAGATCCTGGTTGGTCCAACGGTTTGGGATGGAGACCAGAGCTATGTTTCTCTCTAGGGCTAGGTGTGGCAAAACGCTAATGTTCTCAGCTACATGTTGCTTCCTGTTGTGGAGGAGAAAGGAGTCACTGTTCTTTCAATGGTAACAAAGTGGATTGGAAAATAAGGCACATATGGGGTCAATTTAAAGGCCTGTGTGATGGTAGCAGCCTTGAGGCCAGACTGCTCAACCCAGCCAAGTGGAGGCCAAACCCTGCGGTGCGATGTTGACATCGCCAGCCGGCCAGCGTCGGACCAAAGAGGCTG